TATAGTGTGTATTACATACGGGCCGTGAAGATGTGAAACACTCCTACACCCAGAAACAAAACAAGTGCCTAAATAAATGACAGGCAGAAAAAGACAAACAATCCTGAAAAAAAGGGCATGAATTAAAGTGCTTTCCACACTGTCACACTGTCACACTGGGCAAAGGCCTCTATAAGACGGACATGGTAGAAATATCATGCTAGATAGGCGACACACGATGACAACTTCTGCATCACATTTTATATCCACTGTGCAGCTCAGATACCTTGAATAAAAAAAAAACGTAAAGTTCAAGAACCCAAATATAGCCATAATTAACTTAACCTAAATTTAAATAATATTTACCTGGCAGATATTAATCCACTAAGCAATAATAGTAATCTAAAAAAATATAAAAATGTGAGCAGAAACCCCCCCTGAAAATTAAACTTGTCAGTCTGAAATATCTTATACGACACCAATATTTGAGGAGCCTTTACCATCTTTAGAATGGCTATGTGGAGTTTAAACCTACTCACCCTGTGGCAAAAGAAGATCACTTTGTGTTGACCTCATAAGATCCTGCATTTTTACAAGCAAACTTGGTTCTGCCTGTTCAACAGATCTTTGCCCCATATCCCTTATCGACAAATTGTGCGTTGTGTTTCGATTAGAAGCACTGTTGTCATCAACGCAAGTAAAATGCGCCGTAAAAGTCTGCTTTCAGATGTGACCTCTCTGTCCCTGTCCCTGCCTTTGTGTAGCAGGCAGCAGCACATCTCAGAAGAGGAGAGATGGAGAAATAATCATTAAGATTCAATTCCTAAATACCGTGCATATGGATGTGACATCACTTAATAGTTTCACTCTTAAGTTGTACTACCATCCTCAATTCTTTGTGTGTTAGTTTATATTTAAAGGGGGTCGTCTTTCATGGGCTGTCACTTGCCCAGTGGTTGTTGAAGGCAACATCATTCTGCTTGTGAAAAATTACAAGCTGATCAATGGCATTATGGTTATATCTGGGGCAAACATTGTCCTTGTTGCATTTGTTTCTCCCACTGTGAAAGAATCTAAATCTGAAGCACACGTGTAGGAATAATTTTGCATTAACAGGATGCGCCTGAAGGAAAGCAGCTTAACAAGGTTACGTTTCAAGTGATGCTGCATACCTTGTTTAACCTTGTATGCCTGGCACTGGCTGGCCCGATTTCCGGAGACCACCAAGCCCTCTGCATTGCCACCTGGTGGCAAACCTGGGCCTTCAGCTGCCCTGCCCACCTGTTCACCACAGTTAAAAGCAAAAATCCACTCTGCATGCCAGAACTACCAGCACCCATCACTAGTCGCACAGTGTATGAGGAAGTCTTGGCAGAGGGGAAGCGGAGATGAAATGTGGCAGTCACAGGAGGTGTGTGCAGCTAGCTATGTTTTTCCACTCCACTGGAGGTACAGCCAACCTGTTCCCCTGGTCTATATATGGAAGTAAACAGGATGCTGACAGTGGGGTAGTGGTGGTACGCCATATGTAGCCCTATTATCCTGGTGTTTTGACTAAGACAGTTGAGCATGGACATGTCTCTCTTAGCATTACTAAATCCGGCCTGAACCATGCCCTTCATCCAACGGGAAGACTCAAATGATGGAGAACATTAAATAAATTATCAAGTGATAAGCTGCCACCATTGCATGTATAATGTGTATATGAGGTTGTATATAGTATGTACTCACAGCAGGTACAAGGAGCTTCTTGACCTCCTCCACCGCTCTCCTCATCTTGATCTCAGCTCTGGCCTGTGTGTCTTCCACTGTGATAAGGACATGAAGGTCTTCATTTAGGTGCTCCCAGTTTGGCTTCCCTCTGTTCTGCTCCTCCTGGACAGAGAAATAGGAAGAGTGAGAGAGAAGGTGAGTGAATGTGACAGTGTGGCTGTGTTTGAGCACCGGTGCAGTAACACAGCATATCAGATAAAGCGGAGGCGAGAGGCAGGCATACACAGAGGACGATGGGGCCCTGTGAAGGGAAGTGGGATGACAGGATTGGCCCTTTAGTCAGCTGTTTAGCTTTAACTTTGAAAGGACACCCTTCTTTAATAGATCTCTCGCTTCACAGAGGCAAAAGATGACAGTTAGCCCTGCAGCAATTAATATCAGTGAAAGATGGATGGATGCAGAGATCAGAGAGAGATGGATCCAAATTTTTAAACCATGCTAACTTTACTAGTAGGAATGGAATTATGACACATGAACACATTTCAAAGTGCTGTAGGATTGTGTGTGAAGGTGCACAAGAGTATGCCTCTGTCTCTAACATGTTTCTGCAGACAATACTGTCTAGGTAGCAATAGCTCTCTGTGGGAGTCGTTTTTCTTCCTATAAAAGGCAGCACCAAAGCACTGACAGGTTCCCAAACTATAGCACTAGCAATCCCTGAAAGGCAAAATGGACTGTATTCAAAACCAACCATCACCGCTCGGTCGCGTTTCAACACAGTTAAATAGGAAGGCGTTTCAGGAGAAGAACTGGGAAGGCTGAGGTTTGGAAACGCTTTATGTTTTCAGTTGCCTCCATGAGAAGCCCAGTCACACTTAACGCTTGTGTGAAAAGGTAAAATGGGATATGTAGAAAGAAACATAGAGTAGCCTTACATTTGGAATATATTTTTGAAAACACACTCCTTAATTTAGCATAGCTACTTTCCTCCCTCTTCGTGTTGCCCTGCTGACAGTAAATGCAGTGAGCAGACACTGAGAGCGCTCTAAAAAGCTTTTGAGGTTGTATCGCATGTCACTGTACAACCATGAAAGCCAGCGGTTTGAAAGCTGACTACTTCCCCTTGAGGTGAGGAGTTGAGGTCTAGGTTGTCTGAAAAACATGCAACCTCAGATTCTCAGATGTGTGACACCACACTAAAACATCCAAACAGGATTTGAATGTTCAAATGTGAGTGTTTGATTTTATGAAGAAAAAACAGGAATGTGAAAATGATTTCAACCTAAAAAATATTTTTTTATTTGTGATTTCTTTTTCCAAAAGAGGTCAGAGTCTTATGTGGTCCAACTGCATCCCCGACTGATTTTAGCTGATGTTAGTGCAGCTTTGCACAGACTGTTGATGAATAGTGTGTCGTTTACTCCCGCCCATACAAACCACCTCAACTTCAGAACACTGCTCATTTGTGAGTAGTGAGCTACTGTGAGGGTGTCTAATTACTAACAATGCATTGCGGTGCTCTGCAGGAGGTCCACCTGACATGATTTCCATACACTCAATGAGCAGCACAAAATGGGAGGGAGCACGCACAGACACACACACAGAGCTTAAAGCTCGAGCTGAGTGCCACCCACCTGCTTTCTACTCCACAGAGAGCTGTTGCCATGGCATTGCTCTTTACAACACACAGACAGACAGACAGACACACACACACACACACACACACAGATGGAAGAAAGTTCAATATTCTACTCTCGTTTTCCCGTTTTCCACACGTGGTTGGTGGGGCCTAGTTTCAGCAGTCAGGCCATTATTTCACCATGGCTGTTTGCTTATGGCCTATTCGGGCACATGGGGATTGGCGGGTGACTCAGCATTTTCTGGAGGGGACAAGACAGACGGGCCACAAAGGCTGCCTCTGCATGCAGGGCAGAGTGTGAAAGCACATGGTAGATACACAAATGCATATATATTGACAGATTGTTGCTTAAGGTGGATCCAAAACGATTAGTCCATCTTGTGCCTGTGTGCATGCGCGGGTGTAGCATGTACATGCCAGCGCATATTCAGATTTGTTAAGTACTGTAGTCAAACAGATCTGGCAAAAGTGCACACGCAACCACACACACGCAACCACACACACATACACCATACACCAGCATGACTGCCTGTGAACAAGGTCACTGTGTGCCCTCTGAGAGAAACTGACAGCATGACAAACAGTAGGAAGACTGGAGGGGGAGGGAGGTTGGGAGGGTGAGAAAAGAGAGGGGAGGTAAGGCGAGAGCTCACAGGAATACTGGGAAGGCCTTTGAAGACAATGTCCTCACAGGGCAACATCAAATGCCATGGCAACAACCATATACCAGAGGGTAATAGGTTTGGTCAAAACATGTAGCCTGAATAAACAGCATGGACACTGCATCTTGAAACTTCATCTAAGAATAGGATCAAAAGGAAAGACTGCTTGTCAGCTAGGTTGCATGACTTCCATCATCTGCATAGCACCTGTTTGCCTGCTGGATTTCACACCCCTCATTTTGAGCCCAATAAACTTTAAGGCCTCAATTCTGGCACGGCTGGCACCACATAAAAACATTTTTTTGAAAAACTTTTAAAAAATATACAGCTGTATTTTTCTTCTGACTGAGCTTCCCCTTTTTGGGTTGCACTAAAAAGATTATTAAATTAATTCATAAATTAATGAAAATAAAAAAACAGTCACCAATCAATTGCTGTTTTGTTTTTTTCTCCTGAGTGTTTCATTGATCTGCTTCTGTTGCCACTGTAGAGTCAGGTATACCCCTGGACCTGGAAAGGATTTGTTCAGTTGCTCAAAGACACATAACAGGGTGTACAACTGCAGACACAAAGCTTTCAATCCTTGGTGCAGTGGCTCAAGGTCAGTCTGACTTAATATAACACACTGCTGCCTCATCTGGATTTTAGACTATGTGGTGCTATAATTTTTCTTCTTTTTCTTTTTTTTTGGCCGTTGTGTCTTTATTTGATAGCGCAGTGAGAGAGAGACAGGAAAGTAGGGAAGAAGAATAGGGGGAGGACATGTGGGAAAGGGATTCAAACTCATGATCTCCACATCAGGACTGTAGCCCTGCACATGGGTCGCCAGTTCAACCAGGTGAGCTACAGCGGCGCCGCTGTGGTGCTAGAATTTTGTCCTGGTAATGTTGCACTTTAACAGTCATAAACAAAATTATCTACACTGTTTCAACTATGCCTCTTGAACTCTCTCCCTTTGCGTACCAACTAAGGTCAATGCAACTGAGACTCCTTGCCAGCAGATCAAACAGGTGCGGCAGAGAACTGCAGGGACACGGAAGGACAAGAGGGGGCAAGTGGGACTGTGGAAGAAGGAGGATCAGTATTGACTGAGAAAAATGGCACTAAATGTTAAATATAAACAAATCAAAAGTGACTTTGACTTACAATCTGAAATGAAACAAGTTAAATACCAAAACATTCACTGAAGGTAATGCTGCAGAGAATGGACATGAAGCTCAGCTTCTTTTTACAAACTATAACACAAAATAAAATGTACACTGTGTGGAATAAAGATAGGGCAGGTTTTTGTTTTTTGTTGTTTGTTTTGTTTTTTAAACCAACAGAACGTGTTATATAAATCATTGCACCAAAAATAATACTTGGACATTGTAATACCTGGACTCCACAGTTTTAATAAAGAAGAAACAAGTGTTCCATTCCTGGGTCAAGAGATGAGGAATGACAGTCAGCATAAAATTTTAACAAAACAAAAGGGCTTGCAGCAGTGCCAACAGTCTAATCAAATCCAGCATATTGACAGGCAATGTCACATATTAGTTCTTAAGCAATAAAATGTGGGAGATATGCTGTGACACTGTCTATTGGCTGGCAGAAGCTGATCCCTAGAACTGGAGGCATATTCTGTTCTGCCAGTGACCACTGCTGATACCACAGTTTTAGCTATTATGTATCAGGACAATCAATTCATCTGATAGAGCACACTTCTCAAAGTGCAAGTCTGAAATGACATTAAGTGTGGTTCTAAATAAAATAGCTGTCTATGGAACTAACCATAATCTCACTATGCAGTAGCCAAAATAGAATTAGGGAATTGCTTTTGCAAAAGGGATAGGAAATACCTATTCTACCTGTGCAGTGGTCGATATAACATACCTGTAATGTAATTGCAGTTGTTCGTAGTGTTGTTTTGCATTAAGCGTGACTGTAGGAGTGAAAAACCCAGAGACCAAATCTGATAGGTTAGATGAAAGTATGACAGAAATTGGAATATGGCATCAGGAGCCCTTCTTTTAGATAATCAGGACAATATGTATGTTAAGTAGTGTGACATCAAAAGGGCTCTATCTAGAGAAAACACAAGTATGTGCTTAAACTCAAACACCTCACATTTAGTCTTGTTTGATCTGAGTGTAAAGTGCAGTCTAAAGACAGGTCAGTCCTCTGTTAGTCTCCACTATCTCCACCTATGTCAGCTGAATTTCAGGTTGCACCCACACACATGCAAAGGTAGGTTGAGTAATTTCCCAATTTTAGACAGGTAATAAATAAATATATTTTGGGGAAATTTTCTCTGCAGTTACCTCATCATTTGAACATCAGTTTGTTGGTATTTACACAACTGCACCTCCTATGACATAATTACAAAAACTTTACATAATTTTAAGTTACATAATTACTGCTATTTTATCTTTGGTAGAAATGAAACGACACCCTTTCTGCAAGCACCAGCAGTCTTTAGGAGAAACATTTTCTGTTTGTGTCAAGCATCAAGCTGAGGCCATCGAGAAGAGAAACATTATATCAGGACAGCATTCAGTGACAACAGGCTTAAAAAGCACTTGTGGGAATAATTAAATGACAGCAGTCAAAATAATTTGCCCATGGAATATTATAGGAAACAAGGGAATTAGGGGAAATCTTTAATGCAGCGCAAGTTCAAGCTAGCTTCTGCAAAACAAGATGCAGGAAAAGAACAAATAGAACAAAACAAATTAAGCCCTGGTATCGATAGATGCTTCGGACTAAACAATCTGACATGGATTGAGAGTGAAAGAGTAATTTGGATATCCCCAATTATAAAAGGCCTTTGGTTTCTTTTACAAGAGTGCCCTATATTTTTCTCTCCACCTGCTTCCCTCCTTATTTTCTACTTCATCTGCTTTTCTTCCCTCACCATTGTTCTTTATTTTACTCGGTTTCTCTCTCTCCCTCAGACTGTGCTCGACTCTCTCCCACTGCGTAGCTCCAGTGAGCCGGCTCCCCGTCAGGCAGTGCGGCCCAAGAGGGAGTAACCAGCTGAATTATTGAGAGCATAAAAATGCTGCCGCTAATGGATCCTGAATAAACACACTGGCTAAGCTGCTGCCGTGGCATCCTTTGCTGCCACAGGGCATCAAGCTGAAAATACTGAGGTTGAGAATGCAGTGACTGGAGGCTATTGCTGTGGCTTTGTTTGTGGCTATGACACACTCAGGCCATCCAAAACCATTGGGAATCCAGAGAGCAAACCCCATAGTGATTGTTGTGATTTATGGATGTAAAAACTAGCATACTATCTGCTCTTTTCCCCTACTTAACTCATCCTTTCTGTAAATATCTACATCATTGTACTAAAGTAAAGGGAATAAAGAAGGTTAGGACAAAAATGTAATTTCAGTGGAGAATAGTTTTCAAAAAAGACAATTTAATGACACATATGCGTGCAAAGACGAAGTCGTCCACCCTTTAAAATTCCCCAATTAACTTCCTGCCTTCTATGTACATACAATCACTGTAGGAGCAGAAGCCAGGACTATCAATGAAACATTCTGACTATTGGATCATTCCCTCACTTCATCAGATATCAAAACACTGAGTGAAGAAATTATCCTGCTTGTCTGTATTTTTGTGTAAATGTTTAACTATATTGGGCCTTAGTTAGCATAGTAATTGCGCAGGGCCTTTCACAGGTCCCGTCGCAGCACCACACAGAAAAACAAACCAGCACACGTCATTAAGTTTTAAGATAGTGAGAGATTAAGAAGGTAATCATAGATTCATGTAATGAGCTAAGATGAACTTCTAGAGCGTGTGTGTGGGTTTGTACATGCATGATCGTGCTCACTCCCATTTAACTACTTCTGGATCTAATTCCAAAGAAAGAACCGTAGCAGAGTGTCTTCATCTTGTTCTGTGATAATGAACACACTCCAAGGGAAATGAGAAGAAGAGCTAGAAATTAAAATACGAATGGAGGAACCCTGCAGCATATTGGAGTTTCTAAGATTACGACTCAGCCGAAAATCTGTGGAAGTCTATGTATATTTTTTCTGTTTGGCTTCTGGTGAGGGTGTGCGTAGAACAGGTGACTGTCATATCAAAAGGATGAAATACAGTAAAATATGTAAATGCATTGTAATATAGCACCACTGTCTGGCAACTCTGAGCAACTGGGAGGTGCAGACACAAAGAAAAAAAGGAGATAAAACAAGATTAATCTCCAAAAACTTTCACTCAATTGTAGGGGAAAAAAATTAACTGAAAAAAGCTAAAAGCAGCTATTGAAGGAGAGTCTAAGGCTTTTGGGCAACATATGCGCAGATGCTTAAAATTTGACAGTTTTCGAAGTTGACAATTTCTCCTCACAGTAATGGCAAAGTTTCTCACTATATCTAATCTGACACACCTCCCATTGGGGAATGCATGGAAAATTGTGTTACCTTGGCTTTGAAAATTTAAATTTTCACTGTTCAGGCACCTGCCGCAGCTGAAAAGTATAGTGTGTTAAATTTCAAAAAGCACACTAAGAAACTATGTCACAGGTTGACCTGATAGCATCGTAATACAGGATTACCCAACATGGTCTGACCTCATCAACATCACTTTGCCACAGACAGTCTAAAGTTTCAAATGCGATCATGTCGCTGGTAAAGGTCACACCATAGTGCATTTTAAAATTTCAACTGTAAAAGCCTAATTTGCGGGTCAAATAATGCAAAAAGGTTTTTAAGTAAGCTCCTCTTTTGGCTTTTAAGATATATAGGTGCAAAACATTAGCCTTTTATGTCTCCAGCCTCAGCTCAGTAGGTCCAGAAATAGCAGCTGCCTCCAGCCTTGGCTGTCTGCTTTACTACTGCCTTCTATACTTTCCACTGCGCAGCGTTTTGCAAACAGCATTATCAGATGTCAGAATGCAGCCACCAGGCATCAACTGAGCGTGTGTCTGCCTCATGTTTCTACAGGGCTAGTGTTAAGTTTTTCTATGACCACTATCCCAGCAAATATCACAATTTTGTGTGACACGTCAAGACAATGACTAATTGCTGTGGAGAAAGAAGTGAGCTAAAGTTTAAACTGGTTTTGTAAAATAAATGCAGATTTAGATCATGTTTTTTTTTTTTTTTACTTGAGTGAATGAAATCCACTATGTAACATAGATAAAAATACAAAAAAAATCCCACAAAACACACTCAGCAAAATGCCATGCGGATGAGCTTACCTTCTTCTTGTCCCTCATAGAGCTCTTGCCTCGCACCATGATTTTACATCCCGTCTCTGCCTCCAACTGTTTGGCTGTGAGTCCCCGGGGGCCAAGGATTCTCCCCACAAAGTTATACTGCAGATACAGAGAAAGAAACAAACTTGTGAATCTATGTGTGAATACAACAAATGTGTAAAATTGAGACATTTACATTACATCAGGATGTCACAATATAAAACCAGAGCACAACGGAGAAACACTTGAAAAGCAGTGCATACTTACTCTCACACACACATTTCACTTTTTATGAGATTCTAAAAAGCATGACATCAGCTTTGTTGGATATCAGGCCTCTGCTGTGACCACACCAAAAGTACATCTGCACATCTCACTTTCTGCTTTTCTAGGACAGAGAAAGGTTGACACCCACCTGCTATGATATGTCCTCGATAGCGTTTTTCACTTTTTTAACCTGTAACACTTCGCTTAAATAGCTACATGAGTTGTTTTTTTTTCTTTTCTTTCCTCACCACAGTCACAACATAATTACAGAACATAATGGTCTGGTCCTGCTTTATCAAACCCACTAGATGTCAAAACTGTCTCCAAAAAAATTGAATATTAACTACCGAGAATTAGTCTGGGCAGGAATGGTAGATGGGAATTAAGGGGAAATGGGGTGGAGAGGGTGTTGAGAGTCTTGAGGGGGAGGTGAGTTGTAAGGTGAGGAAGTGTGATTGACACAATTTTCTTATCAAGACCCTTTTCACTCGTGACTGGCTTTGGAGCTTTGTACCAAAAGGAAATGTATTTACCGACGTAATCCTCTCCACATGAAACTGGTTTCCAACAGGATAAAGAAAAAAATGTGTTAAAATAATCCAGCACAATTTTCAGGCAAAATAAAAACAGAAGGTAAGGAGGAGCCAAGTAATGCATGAGGAGGTAAACAAACCGTCCATGTTTCTGCAGTGCATTCAGCAGCTGATAGAGAGCACGATGTCTAAGCGATCTCTGGCAATATCAAAATGGGATCTTTTCACTCAAACCTGGGAAATTCAAATGCTCATTGGCATAGCGCAAAGCCTTCCTTTACAGTCAGAACCACAACTAATCATCTCTTGGGCTATTACAATGAGCTGTGACATAGCTGCATTAAATTCTTAAGCGCAATCACATCTGCTTACGCACTCCACCGCACCAATGCCTCTGCAAAATCCAAAAGACCATCAGAAAAGTCTCATTTAATTACAGAGAGATTACAAACTTAATGCAATGTTGCGGCATCTCCCCGAAGCAACGTTAACAAACACTGCTGAAGACAATCAAAAATTCAAGGCTGTTGTTTTTCTTGTCCCTGTCAGTGGGCTTGCCTGCATCACTGGCCTGTCTCTGACAGGAAAGACACACCCTGCGGCTGGAGAGATGCTTAAGTCCCTACGGATGTTCATAGCATGCGGCTAGACAAGCTTTAAGCATGTGTTTCTCTGTCACAAGGTAACTGTCTGTTTGGTAAACTCTAATGAAGGAAACTGGTGCAAGGGCTGCATTTGTGAGTGTATGTGCTAACTAAAGGATCTAAGGACACCTGTCCTCTGAGGTCGGCCACCAACAAAGAATGGTGGCCTGCTTCTGACTCATACGTAAACACACACATGCACAGCCTCAAGGAGCACAGAAGAGAGAGCTGTCTGTCTGCATCATAGTCGCTGCTGCAGACGAGGGCGAATCCCAAGCTCTGGGCATTATGGTGGAGCTGTGGTAGAACACGCACACACACACAGCTTCTAACCTATTAAACTGAATGTACAGTGACAATGTCTAGGGTGTTGTTACACAACCTACTCGGTTAGCAACTGCAGCACAATATTTGAAAAATACTTGCCATTGTCTGGCACACAAAATTAGTACTCAGAAGGTTTTAAAAAAAAAAGGAAGAAAGAAAAAAATATATATATAAATGTGTGTGTGTGTGTGGGTGTGTGTGTGTGTAGATTTCTGTGAAGATATGACATGTGACTATTCTCGCTATCCTAACAGGATACAAAATCTTCCATCAGTCCAAATCCCACAAGATTTACACACCATGAATATATTAAACATGTATAGTAGATGAATTAGACAGCAAGCTTCAAGTATCAAACTGAGAAGTGAAGGAGAAAAAGTGTATCTGGTATCTAAGGTAAAGGCTATCTGAAAAATCCCAAAATGCTGCAGACGGAGCATTTAATATCTTATTCTCTGTCCTGCTCTCACGGTTAATAATACAACTCTCCCTCTGACTGTAGGACGTGTTCATAGTGGACATGAATATGTTGATGACAACCGCACCTGACAGTGAGCTGTGACCAGATGGAGGAAAGCAGAAAGAAATGAAGAGAGAATAGGGTAGAAAGACAACATCATGAGCAGAGGGGGAAAAGTGACAAACATCTTGTTTTTCCAGCACTTAGAGAGCTATTATAAGCAAGAAGGGCTAACCAACACATGTAGACAAACCAACTACTTGAGGGCTTTCAGGGATAAAGTGTGTGTATGTGGCTGAGGGCTTAAACACATGGCAGACATGTGCATAACATCATGGTAAAACAAAATAAGCTGTGTGCAAGCAGGAGGTCATGAACATTACTCAAGGAAAATTTTAACGTGCACATCAAATGACTATGTTTCTTTTCAATCACTTCACTGCTGACTGGAGACGTACCAGGAAATAACACTGCCTCATTATAATTAAACCTTGCAATTTGAAGTGCAACTCTACTGTGAAAAATAAAGTCCTAATTATCTCAGTAATTAAATAAAGCTCTATGCTTTAACTTTCGTGGATGGGTTGCACTGCTCCCTGGTTTTCTGCTCTGCACTGGGGGTTTGACAATCTTCTCATGGATGCTGATATGCTCTTAGAAAAGGCGACCTCCATTTTAAGCCACTGGAATGTAGAGACAATGGACAGTCAAGCGGGTGAGTAATCAGAAGGGTACAGGGCCATCGAGTCTGCCAGGAACTCCACTCAGTACAGCCAGAGGAGTAGGATGGATACCATGGCCTTACTGCCAAATACACTATCTGTTCTTCACTCGCTCTTGCTAAACTATCTAGCCTCCTACATACCTACTAAAAAAAAAAAAAAAAGCTAGTTTTCATCTTTTGTATTCCTGTATCATCTGCACCGGTTCCCCAGACTGAGAGCTTAAAAATATCTAATGTCTGGGAACCACCATGGCTTTTGGCTATATTTCCAAAGCTTTGCACTCAACAGGAACCTTTGGAGCAGACCCCAGTGACATAAAAATTCACCAAAATTTACCAGCCTTTGATCAAATAAATACAATTATGGTGATTACTATCAACAGATAAATTCCTCTCTTATTTCCTTTGCTTATTTACAAGTACAGGAAATGGGTCCAAGTACTGGGACCTCTTTTCTTTAGTTCTGTTTCAGGCTCATTTTATCAGCATTTTCTCAGTTTTCCTAACAAACCCATAAATACAAACACATACAGTGTATAGACAAACACAGTTCATGTGCAAACACAGGAAGACAGATAGACACAGATAGATAGACACACACACACACACACACACACACACACACACACACAAACACACACAAACACACACAAACACACACAAACACACACACAGCCCCCTTCAGGACAAGGGCTTACACTGACATTAAAGGGCCTTTGTTTAGCCCCAGTTATCGCTACTCCACAGGCGGGTTATGTTGTGAGCATCTACGTCTCTGCCACTGTGTGTTTGTGAGGATGTGCACGCGCGTGAAGCACAATGTATGGAGTGAACTCTTGCAGACACCCTCAGCACCCAGAGCCGACTGTTGCATGGGTTTCTGTGCACGGGCATTCTGGTTTGTTTTTGTGTGAACAACTGAGAAACAACAGCAGTTCCACCAACAATGCTCACAGAAGCAGAACAATTGTGCCTTTTGACTGTGTTTGTTTGTGGTGGTGGGGAGACAGGAAATGAGATCATGCTGAGGGTGCTGGCTGTGTGCACGGAAGGCTTATCGAAGAGCAGGGCCAGGCCAGGAGGAGAATACCAATCACTTATTAGCAAGTCTTACTGGGCTTATGGAAATGAGGAATAGTTCATTCAGTGCAATGTAGCAAAGCAAGGTGGAAACTGGTTAGACCCGGCACCATCATCTCACTCCCGCTCTCAATCCCTTCCCATCTTTTCACCTACTTGATTCTAACCATGCTAATGTTAATGATAGAAACTATCATTGGCATGAACGTCCTCTCTAACCATTTATTACAGCGAAATCTCCCATTTTCCTCATACCTTAGAAACATTCTGTCTCATTTCACTCAGGTTATAGTTTTTGGATGCTTCACAGAGGGCACAGAGTTTAACATCACTCTTAGTTGCTAAAATACATCCCGTCTCTTTCCACACCTCATCCTCTCTGTATCCATTCATAGCTCCAGGAAACTGAGCAGGCTTCCTTTTCCTCTTTGTCTTAGTACACAGGATCTTGCCTTTCCTCTTCTGCTTATCTGTCATCCCCCTGTAGTGCATGGGTCTCTCACAGCCCAAATCAATGTTTTTCTTTGACTACACACAGCCTTCCTCGCCACCAGCCGGCTGCCTGCCTTTAATCACTCATTCATTTCTTGGTGGAAATGTTCCATCATTCAATTAATCCATTGTATTTACTTTCATTTTGTGGCTTGATCACCACAAATGCACACATACACTTTCCACACAGTCAAAAGGAATGTGAGATGAGGAGTAAACTGGTGTATAAGCTACAGCAGCTTGTGTGCTTGATCTACAGGAGGGACAGAGGACACAAGGCCAGAGTGATGAAGGAGTGAAAATTAGACTTAGATTCCAGTGGTGGCATTTTCGCCTCAAAGCCCAATAGACTTCAAAGCTCTCTATTCAGCACATCCAGCATTTAGTGCCTAATCCATGGCTCCTTTGATAATTCTGTTTGGGTTTATTTTGGGGTTGCAGGCAGGGTGAAAAAAAAAAAGAGTAAGAATGTAAAGATGGAAAGCGTAAAGATTGATGTCTGCTGGAAGTTTTGAAGATGTAAGTGAAAGAAGCACAGAGAAAGTTTGGAACTCTTGGAAAAGTTAATGGGGGGGGGGGGAATTCAATCTCTT